TGTGCCTAGCAATAGTTCCTAGAAAATATCATTCAGTCATAAAGTGTGTTTCAAAGAGATGGAGGGACTTAGTTTTCAGGTCCTATACACTTTTTATTTTTTTGTGCATTACTTGATACATATGCTGCTTAATTACTGATTTCTCAACTGGTCAGGTCTTGCTATTATAATCTTCAAGCTTGGCCTATACCAATCAGTGCAAACTGCTTTGTGGAGCTATTGTTCTTGCTCGCATTGCAGGGATTAGCTTTCAATTTTTGTGTGGCAATTACTGTGTTTCAGGCTTTCAGCATTTCATTTTTTGTTTATTTTATAACATGTCTTGTTATTTGGCATCATTGTTATGATTTTATTTTGTTTTGTTTTGTCTTTTTGTTTGTTTGTGTAACCAAATTTTTATTAAAAAAAGTGAGGAAAAGGATCTAAAAAATATATATGATATTATAAAGTTAGAAAAATACAACCATACAAAAAAGATAAATCAAGGGTGAAGCTGCAAGTTTTCTCAGTATCTGCATTTTGAATGGCATAATTTGTAAATTCTCTCATTTTTTTGCTGCTTTAATTTTGTTGTACAAAGGATCTAAACTATATTATTGTTGCAGATGCAAGTTTTGCTTGACCCTTCTATTGTAGCCAATCTGCAGAATGGGTACAACCATGGAGTTCAGTTATCCAATTCCATTAGTGACATAAAATTTCATGTCGACAATATTTTGTACGGGTTCAGTTAGTGTGAGCAATTTAATTCTATGGCAATACTTCTAACAGGTAGCAATAATATCTCAAATTGATTTGGTTAAGTTAGTGTCTGGTTCCATCTCAGATTGGCAAATTATTTTTTTTTCAGTTAATGTCTCAGATTGGAAGTGTATATTTGTCTCTACAGAAAAAGAGGAAATAAAATTAAATTTAGTTATTAAATCTATAAAGAGTTCTATTAGCAGCAGCTTAGCAAGCCAACCGGAGGAGGCCACCCCATGTGACACTAAACGTGAAGCCAAAGCACAGAAAAGCAATTGTGTGAGTCGGTCCAGCTGCAAAGTTGCTAGAGAGGAGGACCCAATTACATCAGTCAATGTAGAGAAAGTGGATGGATGAGATAGAAGCTTGCTTCCTTTTGTACCTTTTGATTTTTAAACATTGTGATCACAGCTTGCTGTATTCAGGCCTTGTACCTTATTTTTTGTCGTGAACAATTATCGTTATTTGTTCCATTTTCAGATTTTACTATTGTAGGACTTTAAGTTTATGATCATCTGGTATTTTTACTGAGATGTCATAAGAAACACATTGAAGTCAAGATAGATAATTTGGTATTTTTAATCTTTACACAATGGATTTAATTTTCAATCTTTAGCCACATAGAGTGTGCATGACAACCTTTCCGGAATGAATTCTTTTTTAATTTCTGTTCCCGGGAACAGAAATGGATAGAAAACTTGTTTGGTAAAACCAGTTTATTTTTTTGTTCCCGAGATGAACCGGTTTAAATTTTGTGCTTGGGAACAGAAAAAAGAATCAAAAAATTTCTGCTTTTTTGTTCCTGGGCACAAAATGAGAAACACTTATCTCTCTCAATCACTCTCCACCTCTACCATCATCACCACCACCACCATCATTCTGACACGACTGTTTCCACAATTGTACCACTAGTGCCTTTGTCACCACCATGATGCCACCGCCACCATTACCACCACCTCCACCCATCACTACCACCATGCCACCGTCATCACCACCACAACTACCACTGCCGCCACCACCACCACCACTGCCGCCACCACCACCACCACTACCGTCATCACTGCCACCGCCACTAACACAGCCACCGTCACCACCACCATCACTACTACCTCCATCATCGCAACCACTGCCGTCACCGCGACCATCGCCATCACACGCCACTGCCACCACACCCATCACTACCACCACTATGATGTCACCACTACCATCACCATCACTGTCACCAACCACCACTATCATTGCCGCAACCACTACCGTCACCACCATCGTTGTCGTCGCCGCCGCTGCCACCAACCGCCACCACCACCATCGTCCCAGCCATTACGGTCACCACCACCACCATCACTACCATTACACCAGCGCTACCACTACCATCGCCACGCCATCGCCACCACCGCCACCATCACCACCACCACTGTCACCTACCACCACCGCCGCAGCCACTGCCACCACCACCACCAAGATGCCTTCACAACCACTGCCACCATGCCACTGCTACCATTGTTGCCGCCACCAACCACCATTGTCGCAGCCACTGCCGTGACCTCCACCACCACCATCCCCACCACTACCACCGCCGCTGTCACCATTACCACCGCCATTGTCGCAGTCACTGCCATCACAACCGCCGTCGCCGCCACCACCACAACCACACCATATGGAAAGGAAAGTGATGATCCGAAATTTTTTATATTTAATAGGAATTATTTTTTATTATATTATTTGTTGTGTTATCAAACACAATTCTCATTCTCGGAATAAAAATAGAACATGTTATCAAGCACATTTTTTTTTCAGAAACTGTTCCAAGGCACAGAAATAGAAAAGAATTAATTCTTTGCAGAAACAGTGCTAGGAAACAGAATGGTTGTCATGCACACCGATATTAAGATCTCAACTGCTGACCAAGGAAAAGTTGACAATTAAATTTCACAGATATAAACAAATGAACAATCACATGTTTCAAGGATAATATTGATGATTAGTTACAAGCTGGGTGTCCAAAAATAGAGACACAACATATATTATTTCCAACTTCCCACTCCCAGTAATAGCATACATGAGGTTATCCATGATATTATGATGCAAAAGTTAATCTATATGGCTGCGTAGTCATCTTCGGCTCCGGGAGCATCTGATACAACAATGTTAAAACAAAGGCACCAAATAAGACAGTGATCACAACACTGAAGTTGACGAGTAAAGCCTCATAACCATATTTTGCCAATCCTGAGTTCTCAAGGAAAGTGAGCTTCTCCAAAAAACCATATTCTGCAAAGTTGCTAGAGTTTGCAGAAGCAATTACCATAAACTGTACTTGGATTTATCAGTCAAGACCAATGGAGTTGAGCTAAAAGGTAATGTTGCAGAGATTATTCATGGAAAAGAAGGAATAGTTCAGTAACAAATAAATTAAATGGACTTTATAAATCTGTTAGTTATCACATTTGGAGATTGAGCTTCAGCAAGAGCTTGAAAATGCTCCAACTCTTTTCTGTCTAAAAGAAATAAAGCTTATAAGATACTAGGCCAGCAACAAGGTACAAATTTTTGCAAAGCTGAAAGTGGAAAAAATATGACACCCAACTCTTACATATATTTTTGTTTCTTGAAACCCAGAAACCTCTGTTTCATCAAACCAAATAAATTTTGGTCGCCATCAGTTTCAGTCATATTCCCTATATCAAGACAAGATTTTCTCCACCGAGTCTGAGACAATTATTTGGAACCTCTGGTTGTTTTTCCCTACGGCTAATGAAAACAAATGGCATAATTGTAATCAAACATTGCTTTTAAATCAAATAATTTGGCACAATCTGGTCAAAGAAAAGTTTAAACAACCATAGTTTAACTATCAGTATTGTAAGAGAAAGAAACAAATTCATTTTTTTTTCTGGTACATAAATTCACTGTTTTATGTACTGAAAAGAACGAAGATAATCTTTGCAAGCTTTTATATGGTATGGCATCAATCTAAATCAGCATGGAAATTATGTCCACGTCACAAAGAAACAACTGAGGTAAAAATGACCTTGAGTACCGATTCATCATCAATCAGAAAGACAAAGTATTGTTATGCGGTGAAGTAGCAAACAAATGCATGAAACTTTTCTAGTGAAAAGCAAATTTATACGGGGTATTTATCGACAAGTAAAGAATTCAAATTATATAGCTTTTTGTACGACGAATTTGTTCCAAGTGAAGAGCCATACAAGAGGCAAATTTCCAACCAACATACCGAAGATGAAAATTATCCGACCACAAAATTTATTTTAATTAAGTAATAGCAGGAAAGAAGAACAAGCCTTTCCACAAGAAGTAACAGCCCACAAAGAGAAACCCAAAGTTTCAACAAAATTTGCATATAAATAAGTCCTTGTTGGTTGGTACGACAAACTCGAACTTACTTCAATGAAGGCAACGATGCTGCTGCACGGGAACCATCCGTTTTTACATAATTCGTAAGATAGGAAAGCAAACAAATCAATATCAGAGCCAAACATTAAAATAAATATCAAAGAAAAATTTATGAAGAAACACAGAGAAGACAAATGGAGCACGAAAGACGAACGTTCCTTCCACAGATGTCCAACGATACACTCACAGTTCTATTCCAATTCAGATTCAAAATTTATAAGGGGTATTATCGGTTTTTCAATATATTTCCCCATCAATCTTTTACTATCAACCAAACATAGACTTAGTAAAGTTAAATTAATTTTCCTGGTAATATTTTGGTCTACCAAACACCTTTTTTAAAACTTGCCTAGTAAATTTACTTTCTGACTATTTCCCCACTAATCATATTTTCCTCGTAATTTTTTTTTATCATCTACTAAACACCCCCTTAGGATTTCGAGCTACCGCACAAGCGTTTTACGCTAGTTAAGCTCCGCAAACCACAACGTTATCATATATAAAGACAAGTCTCAAGCTCTTGCAAAAACAAGAATGAGATTTGCATTTGCAAGACAAATATACAAAGCGTAAAACTTATACAAAATTGAGAATTCAGAGGTGTGGAATGTCGCATGATTTGAAAATTTGAATCCTGTATACAAACCAATTGACCCAAATATCCCCTCAACAATAACCGATACAAAAGAAAGGTAATAAAAACATATCCGAATAACCCAAATTTGACCTTTTTGTTTTCTCTAAGTCAGGGCCCTATCATTTTTTTGTTTCTCTTTCTCGTTCATTCATATAAATTACAAAGCACACTTGTTTTGTTCCTCTTCTTTCTTCTTTTGAGGTCATGCTTTCTTTCTAGCAATGGCCTGATGATGAGGGTTCCCATCAAACAACTCGTCGATGTAATTCTCTACATCCTCAGCTTGAAGCTTAATATACTTCTCCGTTTGTCTCCCTGGATCCAAATACTGAGAAAACCTCCCCAAAAATGACCGGTACGCCGGAATCACGAGCGCCGATATTGAAACCCTTAGCTCCGATTGAAGCTGTTCGTCACTCACCACCCACGTGCTCTGCGTCTTGTGTATCTCTTCAAACAATGCATTGAAGCTCTTGAACCTCTCCTTCAGCACCGGTTTCTGCACCTTCCCGTTATCACTCAACCCTTTCGGGCTTAAACAACCCAATATCTTACTCCACGTTTCTATCTGGTAGTTCTTATGGTATGTCCTCAGCTCAGTGGATCTTTTCCTACACCATGTCTCTCCCATTACCTCGTATATCTCCGAAGAACCTTTGATCTTCTGAACTATGTATCTTCCGTTGTTCATCATGAAGATGCAGCTTAATGCTACCTCCTTGTACAGCTTCGCTTTCCCTTCAAGGTTCGAGTCTAGCAACTCCATCACCCTCATTAACTGTGCCGCAAACGGCGATGCGTTTTCCTTTTCTTTTTGGACGTTTTTCTTCTCTTCCTCGTAGTGGGGCCTACTTGTCGAGTCAGCACGCTCGATCTTCGAGTGTTCCCTGAACACCTCTTCCAATGTGTCTTTATATTCGCACGCTAGCCTCAGGTAGTTCATGATGTAGCGTGTTAGCGGGTGAACCGCGCCACCGGCTACCGGGGTTTTACCGGTATCGGATTTTATTGAGTTTTCAAGATCGCAGAATATGAGTATCGCAGCCTCGCCGAGTCTGCACTTACCCGACGTCGTTTCCGCTTTGAGCTCGCTGACGTAATCATCAGGGAACAGGTTGTCCAGGTTTGGAATCAAATCCCTTAAGGTTTCGTACATGTCGAGGAGTTTGAAGAGCTTCTCCCCCGCACGCTTTGTCATAGACATGCTTTCAGCGAAGTTGAGAAGCTGAATCGTCACGCCGCGAGAGATGTTGCTGAAGAGGCTCGCCGCCGTGGATGGGTGATCCGAGAAGACGGACTCCGCCAGTTTCCGCTCGCCGGGGAAGTACGCGGCGGCGCATTCCTTAAATGTGTTGATCCACGTTGGGATGTGATCCCTCTCCAGTGCTTCCCATTGCATTTTCTGAATCTCTTCGATGGTGAATTTCTGGAAGCCTAGTTTGTGCACGCTCTCCTCCAGCGCGTGCCTTCTCGAAATGGTGTAATCATGAAAACACTCAGATTCGTAACCGCCTGATATCATCTCCCTCGCTATCTTGTTCAAACTTGCAACGGCTTCCTCCGTGTAACCCGGGAAATGCGTAACCGTTTCCGCGGGTTCGGATTCTGGTGGTTCTGCCTGCACGTGCTTCCCTTTCGGGTCTGATTTGCTGTGGTTTCCAGATTCTTCCATTAACAAACGGAACTCGTCTTCCAAATACGACATCGCTCGTTGTTGAACGACGCCAATGCGGTTCACCAACAAGTCGTTTTTGCCATTGATCTCTTCTTTTTCAGATTGAGACTCTTCTCTCAACAATTTCATCAGCTTTGAAATGCGATTCACAGCTTCCAGCAACGATGAATCTTCCTCCACAACCTCACCCGATTTTGTTGCGCCTGTGTCGTACCTGGCAATCTTCTCTTCCACGAGATCCAAGAACCTTTCCACGAAATCAGGGATCTCTAATAACGAGACTTCATTGACATCTGCATTATTGTTATCATCATTATTCTGTTGCAGAGTCAGAAGTAATCGATCGATGTCTTCTGAAACCTTCTCCAGGCTAGGAAGAGGAGTTTCCGGCGGAACCTCAACGGCTACGACGGTTTCTTCTTCCTCCTCCTCCCCCTCTTTCGGCTCTCCCTGAACACGATCTGCATCTGCAGCTTTTTCGGTTTCACTGTCCGGTTTTGCACCAATGTTATCTGCAGTTTCCGGCACCGGTGAATGAGAGATGTCGTCGACATTGGTGTTTTCGTCTTTGCCTGCGAAACTGCCTGAATGCTCAGCAAGGTCCTTCTCCATTATGGTTGTTGTGACGACGGTTGTGGTTTCCCTTGGAGAAAATAAAGAGGAAAAAGAAACGTTTCAGAATGATAGATGCCAAGACAGCATTTGGAGAATTATCAGCTTGGTTTTTTTGTTTTTTCTGATTAATTTTCTCTGCTCTATTTTAGTTTCGTGGTTATTAACTATTAATTTTCTATTAACTAGTAATTTTTGGTAGTTTTTTTAATTACCAAAAAAAAGAAATGTAATTTCAGGGGTTGGGATTGAAATGGTCCTTGTCTGCTGCGTATGAAAGAGAAAAAGAGAGAAATGAATGGAGGAAAAGCTCCAGCGTGGAATAAATTACATATAAAAAACACAAAAAAATAAAAAGAAATTAAAGAGACAGAAAGCAGGTAAATCTATTAAGAGGCTGGTTGACCGTTGACCCTCGTTTTCTTCAACGTCGTTGGTTAACGTTGGTAACCCATTTAGATGCACAAAGATTTTATTATTATTTTTAATTATTACTATTGTCCTCTTTGTCGGGGGAGTTGCGTATTGCGCTCCACTAGCACTAATAAATGGATCCGATAGAATCCATGTAATAACCAAATGTTTCGGGTTCCGACCCATACCCGAAAAGTAATGATAATCTTCAGGTCCAGCTGAAATGAAGCTGACTTTGAAGTCAGAGACTAACACACACACAGAGAGAGAGAGAGAGAGAGAGAATGAGGTATTTAGGTGGGGGAAGGAGGAGGCGAGTGGCACTGCAAGCATTTCTTGGTTTGTGTGTATTGGTGAGTGGTTTGGGGCTGTTGATGCTTTCGCTGAAACCCTTGGATCCTCCGATTACTGTTTCTTTCCCAAGAGATTCCGAGTTCGACGATTCCAACAAGAGTTCGAGTTTCGAAGGCGTGGTGGCGTCTCGGCTTGTGACCAACATTGAGGAGAAGCCGTGCGTGACGGTGGAGGAGATGGGGAAGGAGTTCAAAAGAGGTGTTGGGAAGGAAACCCTGAGAGTGAGAAGGGTTATTGAGAATCATTTTGTTGTTAACGGTACTTTCTGGTTTTCTTTTTTCCTTTTCTTTTTTTTTTTTTTTTTGATAAGAGGTGTTAAATCTGTGCATAATAATACTTGCAATGCAACATAGCTAGTGGTTTTTACTGGGCCCATATATGAATTTTGTTATGTGCTACTTCCATATAAATATAGTTAATTTTTTTATGCTTGCAATTGTTTGTAGTATGTTAAATATACATTTATTTCACACTCAATTGTTATTTCTCTATTCTTAATGCTGGTCTTGTTCTTATGAAAAACACGTAGTAAAAATCCAAGTCGTAGTTGTTCACCTCTGAGTGCAATTAGTTAGATGAAAGAAACCATGAGCCATGTGCTTATGTGGAGAATAGTTCTCAGATCAGAAGATGACTTCGATTTTGTTTCAGGTGCTTCAAGAGTCAGGGATCTGCCCCCAGAGCAGTTTTGTAGTCATGGCTTTGTTTTGGGAAAGACATCCGAGGCAGGTTTTGGGAATGAAATGTACAAGGTCTTAACTGCTGCAGCACTTAGTGTAATGTTAAACCGGTCCTTGATCATTGGCCAAACCAGGCATATTGGTTCTTTCTCAAGCCTTTCTTAGTTTCCTTTTCTTTTTTTAAGAACTAATTGTTACATTCTTTCTGTCAGTTTGCCATTTATGTATTTGTGAAATTGCTCTGATCTTACAATATAGCATATTCAAATCAACTACAAATCATTTTTGTTAAAACTGGTCTGAACAGTTAACCGGTGAGACTTCCAGATTAGGTTCAACTGGTTTAACCATTTAAAATTGGCTGTTTTAGCTATAGAAAACATGATAAAAATAATCCTCATGCTACAACATGAAAAATATGAAGACATTTGAAAAATGAAAAAATATTGAGGGCTTTTAAGATAAAAAAGAAAAATCTAATGGCTGGTTCAACTTGTTTTCGACATTTAAAAGTGGTCTGAACATAATTCTGATGGAACACAAAGAAATACAAGACTGAATTCATTAACAATGGAGGCATAGCCTCTTTTTACATACACTAACACAATATTAAATGCAGAAAATAAACCCAGAAAGCCTCAACTCCCCCTCAAACCAAATACCTAGGCTCAAGAGTTCCCTAGAGGTCTCTTAATTCCCCACTAACCAATTTTGAATGCATGAATACCTCACTACCCACACTCACTCACCTTTTATCCTACTTACTAGAATATTCTAGAATAACTACTAACTGACCCACTAATTTTTAGGCCCATTAATACTCCCCCTCCAAAATTCACCTTGTCCTCAAGGTGAAGAAGAGGATGTGCAAGAACTTTCTCCCGGGTCCCATTGCTTATAGCACCTAGACCACATTGGAAGTTTCAATTCCATTTTCTTTCCATAAACCTCACCCTTCAACTTCAATGAATGGCTGGAAATAAGACCCACAATACTATGGACACTCAACCAGAAAGTCTCGCCCCACAATCTGCCCAATCGGCTAGACGTGTGTCCCACCATATTATGCAGGCTAAATTGAAGAGATTCCCCATCGACAACTCCATCCCTTCCCCCAATCCCTATTTCTTCATCAACATTTGGCTCACCCGCTCCTATCAACATGACCTGCAAGCTTGGGTTCTGACATATGTGGACTGGCGAAATTGGTGCAGCACCGTGAGAGCATAAATCCCTTCGTCTTATATTGCTCGGCTCCTTTGGCGACAACCACCAAAATCTCGCTCCTCCATTCCCTGTTACTGCATTAGAACCTTGATTGTTCATTGTGCTTCCCTTATTTCTAGACCCTACCCATTGAGATGAAAGCCCTTCAAAATTCATATTAGCCAAATTTCTAGACCCATCTATTGCATGGGTTGCATTCCTTGGGCCGATACCGCCAGGCCCATTTTGTGCAATTAACTTACCCATGTTGGACCATGATTCAGCAACAGAATTGGCCCTATTGATTAAAGTTGGGTTGTTATTATTATACCCACCCATCAAACCTGCTCCATTGCCACTTCGCCCGCCCACCAACCCGATTAGTTCCTGCTCCACATGCGATTAGTTCCTCTTTCTTCAACCCTCCATTCCAGATCTTCAACGAGGTGCAAGTGTTCCTCTCCTTCTGTCGCTTCTAATACTGAATTATATTCTGAGATAGTGGAAATATTTTCTGATTTCTTTGGCAAATAATGAGATCCTTCTTTGTCTTCTTGCTCTTGATCTTCCTCTTTTTCTTTTCCTTTTTCTTCTGATTCTTCTTCAACCTCTATCTTGTCTTCCTTTTGATCTCCTTCCTCTTCTTGTGCTTTTCTCTGAATCTGTTCAAAATACTCTATTCGACTCTGTTTTCTGGTTTCAGAAACAGAGTCGTCTTCTTCATCTCCTCCTTCTTCTATTTGTTTTCCTTTTGCTTCTACTTGTGCGATTTCTACTGCACCTTCTTCCTCTGTCGCTTCTGCATCTTCATCTCCTTCTGCAACTTCTTCGTTTTCAGCTTTGGCATCATCTTCTTTCTTCGCTTTTGTTGCTTCTTCTTCTACAATTTTTCCATCTTCTTGCACTTCTTCTTCGATTTTTGTGAAGCTCTGCGTCTTCAACTTCTCGTATTCCAGCCTCCGTGTTTTCATCCACTCAATTGTTTCCCCTAATATCTTCACCATTTTTTCTAGACATTCGCTCACTGATTCCTACCATTTTTTTTTTTTCTAGATCTGGACTAGAAACACTCCCTAGATCGGAAATGCTCTGATACCAAATTGATGGAACCCAAAGAAATACAAGACTGAATTCATTAACAATGGAGGCATAGCCTCTTTTTACATACACTAACACAATATTAAATGCAGAAATAAACCCAGAAAGCCTCAACTCCCCCTCAAACCAAATACCTTGGCTCAAGAGTTCCCTAGAGGTCTCTCAATTTCCCACTAACCAATTCTGAATGCATGAATACCTCACTACCCACACTCACTCACCTTTTATCCTACTTACTAGAATATTCTAGAATAACTACTAACTGACCCACTAATTTTTAGGCCCATTAAATTCAATTATGAACTGAATTATAACTGACTAGACTGCCAACATTGCTACAATTATGTTAACTGAACAGGGTTTTATCTTTCTATTATCTGACTATCATCTTGTTGCTACATTTCAGAGGGAAATATCCTTTTGGGGACTACATTTCTTATGCCAACTTTACCTTCACAATGAAAGAAATCAAGCATCTGTGGAGACACAATGGTTGTGAAAGCAAATATGGGAGGCAACTGGTTATGAGGACTGATGATTTTGAGAAACCAGTTGAAACAAATGTTCTCTGCGGCAATTGGAAGAAATGGAAGCAGCCTATCATATGGTAAGGTGAGAATGGTTTTGTTAATTATCAGTCTCGCAAGCATCATAAAATGTTCATAACTTTATGTTTTAGGTTTCAAGGAACTACTGATTCTGTGGCAGCACAATTTTTCTTAAAGAATATACACTCTCAGATGAGGACTGCTGCTCTTGATTTATTTGGTGACCCACAAGTTCTAGGATTACGGCTGAATGTATTTGGGGAGCTCATGAGGGTTCTCATATCCCCTTCAGAAGATGTTGAGGCAGCTGTCAATTGGGTTATTGGTGGTGGGGAGAATCCTGACATTTCGTTGCATATGCGGATGCTTATGAATAGGTAATGGAAGTACACATTAATTTCATTGAATGGGAACTATCATGCTTGATTGATGAATGAGGCTAGTAACCCTACCAACCTATATATTGTTGTTAGAATATTAGATATGATATGATTAGATTTGATTAGATATGATTGGATTCTGTCTTATCCGTAAATAGTCTGACTGTATTCTGACTGTATTAGGATTAGGTTTGGGCCTTACACTTAAGCCCATTAGGGTCTCTATATATTGTAACTCCTTGACACAGATCAATACATAACGTATTCTTTTACATTTATCTTGGTATCAGAGCTTTTTCGTTCTAGGAACCCTCGCTTCCGCTCAGAAACCTTGTTTTTTGCTTTAAAAACCTAAGCCCACTGCTTAGGAGTCATCTTTCTTGCCGTGCGTCCTTCCGGCAAGCCTTCTAGGGCTGTAAACAGCCTCTGAGTGATTTTTCCAAACGCGTCAGCACCTCCGACGGCCACCGGAACCACCGCCCGCCGTCAGAATCACTGTTCAGGCAACCGGAGACTTTTTCCGGCGACTTTTCCGACCAAACTTCACGCGATCAGGACCCTTTCTTCCCGGCGACCAGGTCTGTGGTGGTCCGGTCAGCAACGCATCTCCCACGCGTCTTCACTGCGCGTGGGCTTCACGCGCCACCTTCTGCCGGCGCGTGAGCACTATTCCGGCGGCTTTTTCCGGCCGGTCTTGGACAGAGAAGCTCGCCTTCTCCTCCCCTTTCTGGATCTGTGATTGTTTCTCTGTGGGTCTTACCTTAGACGCGTGGTTCTTCTTGATTGGATATCGTTTGCCTTCGTTTACGGCTTTTATATTTTATCTTTAAATGGCAGCAGCATCTCCTGATCTCTCGGAGGTTAACTCTCCTTCTATTGTTGCAAATATAGCTCAGTCAGACAAAGCATCATTTGGTTCAGGTTCGGACTGTGCTGCACTCCAAACCCCTCTCAGGAAGGCTTCTCCTCAGTCTCAGCCTTATACTGGTAATCCCGTTACTTGTGTTTCTCATTCTACATCACTTGGCACTTGGATATTTGACTCCGGTGCTACCGATCATCTCTGTGGTAATAAGGAACTCTTTACATCTCTTACTTATTCTGATCATTTACCGTCTTTTACCCTTGCGGATGGAACCAAAGCCCCAGTTTGTGGGATTGGACAAGCTCGTCCGACCTCTACCTTGGCCCTGACATCTGTCTATTGCATTCCTGGCATCCCTTATAACTTAATTTCTATTAGTAAGTTGATCCACTCCCTCACTTGCACCATTACTTTCTCTAACCATTCTGTTTCTGTGCAGGATCCGGGTACGGGGAAAATGATTGGAGTGGGTCGTGAGTCACAGGGGCTTTATTATCTGGATGTGCCTCGTCCTTCAGTAGCATGCTCTCTCACAGAATCTCCACAACTTATCCACAGTCGCCTTGGTCATCCAAGTCTTTCAAAGTTGCAGAAAATGGCTCCTCTTTTGTCCGGTCTTCAGTCTTTAGATTGTGTGTCATGTCAACAAGGGAAGCATACACGCTCCTCTTTTGCCAGTCGAGTCAATAAACGAGCTGATGCCCCTTTCTCTCTTGTTCATTCAGATATCTGGGGTCCAAGTCGTACCTTGTCTGTCTTAGGTTTTCGGTATTTCGTTACCTTTATTGATGATTTTTCCCGTTGCACTTGGACCTATTTAATGAAAAATCGTTCTGAGTTATTTTCCATTTATAAAAAGTTTTCTACTGAGATCCATACTCAATTTGGTGTTTCTATTCGTATTCTACGTAGTGATAATGCTAAGGAATATGTTTCTATTGATTTTTCTAATTTCTTGGCCACACAAGGTACTTTACATCAAACTACTTGTCCTCACACTCCACAACAAAATGGGGTGGCTGAACGTAAAAACAGACATCTCATTGAAACTGCCCGTACCCTTCTTATTCATATGCAGGTTCCTCTTCACTTCTGGGCAGATGCTGTACTCATCTCTTGTTTTCTCATCAATCGCATGCCTTCATCTGTGCTCCACCATGACATTCCTCATAATCTATTGCTTCCAGATGTTCCTCTTTATCCTCTAACTCCACATGTCTTTGGTTGTACTTGTTTTGTTCATGATCTCACTCCTGGTAAGGATAAGTTAACATCCAAAGCCTTTCAGTGTATCTTTCTTGGTTATTCTCGTCTTCAAAAGGGTTATCGTTGTTATTCTCCCGACCTTAAGCGTTACTTAGTTTCCGCTGATGTCACTTTTCTTGATCAACAACCCTTTAATTCTATCCCATCTCAGATGTCACAGGTTGATCATGTACTTCCTGTCCCTTTTCTTGACTTGTCTTTGCCAGCTGCAGGTGCTTCTATTCCAGATGAGCAACCTATTGCTTCTATACCTGAGGACCGTCCACTTCTCACCTATCAGCGTCGCAAAACTGTGCCTCCTGTCGACTCGACTCTTGCTGACTCATCGCCCACTGCTGTTGCTTCTTCCCCTCCGGATCCTTCATCAGAGACTCTTCCCATTGCTCAAAGAAAAGGTACACGTACTACTCGTAACCCTTATCCTCTTTATACCTTTTTGAGTTATGACCGTCTTTCTTCACCTCATTTCACCTTTGTTTCTAGTCTTTCTTCTATTTCTATTCCTAAGACCACAGGTGAAGCACTTTCCCATCCAGGGTGGCGCCAAGCAATGCTTGATGAGATGACTGCACTTCATTCCAATGGCACTTGGGACCTTGTTTCTGCTCCTCCAGAGAAGTCTATAGTTGGTTGTCGCTGGGTTTTTACTGTGAAAGTTGGACCTGATGGCCATATTGGTCGTCTCAAGGCACGTTTAGTTGCCAAGGGTTTTACTCAAATCTTTGGCCTTGATTATAGCGATACATTTTCTCCGGTCGCTAAGATGGCGTCAGTCCGCCTCTTTCTTGCCCTTGCTGCTGTTCGTCACTGGCCACTCCTTCAACTTGACATCAAAAATGCATTTCTTCATGGTGATTTACAAGAAGAAGTTTACATGGAGCAACCACCTGGTTTTGTTGCTCAGGGGGAGTCTTGAAAGGTGTGTCGTCTTCGGAAATCCTTATATGGTCTCAAGCAGTCTCCTCGAGCATGGTTCAGTCGTTTCAGTTCTGCTGTTCAGGCGTTTGGCTTAATCCGCAGTAAAGTTGATCATTCTGTGTTTTATAGGATTACATCTCCTGATAAGTGTATCTATTTGTTAGTCTATGTTGACGACATCATTCTCACCGGAAGTGATCAAGACGGAATTCGTCAGTTAAAACAGCATTTGTTTAGTACATTTCAAACAAAGGACCTTGGGAAGCTGCGTTACTTCTTGGGAATTGAGGTGGCGCAATCAAGACAGGGCATTTCTATCTGTCAAAGGAAATATGCCTTGGATATCCTAGAAGAAACTGGTATGTTGGGGAGTAAACCAGTTGATACACCTATGGATCCTAATGTCAAGTTATTACCCGGACAGGGGGAGTCGTTATCTGATCCTGGACGTTATCGGAGGCTAATTGGGAAGCTCAATTATCTTACTGTGACTAGGCCAGATATTTCTTTCGCTGTCAGTACGGCCAGTCAGTTCCTTGATTCCCCTTGTGATTCACATTGGGATGCTGCTGTGAGGATCCTCCGATACATCAAAGGAGCACCAGGAAAAGGTTTGTTGTATTCGGATCAGGGAAATACAGAAATTTGTGGTTACTCAGATGCCGATTGGGCAGGATCACCCTCGGACAGACGCTCTACTTCTGGTTATTGTGTCTTCTTCGGAGGAAACTTAATCTCATGGAAAAGCAAGAAACAACCTGTTGTTTCCCGATCTAGTGCAGAAGCTGAGTATCGTGCAATGGCAAATACTACCTGTGAGTTGATCTGGTTAAAGCAGTTGATTCAGGAGCTTCATCTTTGTGAACAGAAACAACCCATGACACTCATCTGTGATAATCAAGCTGCGCTACATATATCCTCTAATCCTGTTTTTCATGAGAGGACCAAACATATAGAGATTGATTGTCACTTCATTCGGGAAAAGATTCAGTCAGGAGAAATCAAGACAGCTTTTGTCAACTCGTCTAATCAACTAGCAGATGTTTTCACTAAAGCTCTTAGAGGTCCTCGGGTTGAATACATTTGTAACAAGCTTGGTGCTCATAATATATACGCACCAGCTTGAGGGGGAGTGTTAGAATATTAGATATGATATGATTAGATTTGATTAGATATGATTGGATTCTGTCTTATCCGTAAATAGTCTGACTGTATTCTGACTGTATTAGGATTATGTTTGGATTAGGTTTGGGCCTTACACTTAAGCCCATTAGGGTCTCTATATATTGTAACTCCTTGACACAGATCAATACACAACGTATTCTTTTACATTTATCTATTGTCATGGTTTATCATATTTCTTACTATGTCGTTTACTCTCTTCTCAATAAGTATCAAATGAATTAGGTGGTGGCTTTAAAAAGGAAATATGTAATATCAGGATTTGTTTATAGTTTCATCAGAAAATGAAAATAAAAAAGCATGCATACATGCAGCAGATACATGTAAATTTCCCATAACATATTTGAAGCTAACTTTGACATTCCTTCTCAACTTTATTTTTATCTTGACCTGGATTATATTATAATTAAGAAAATCAATATGGGTCAGTTAAGGATGGGGCTCATGAATCCTTTTTTGCTTCCTGTACCTCCATGGGAATATTATTTACTTCACCTTACCTTCTTTGTTTTGATTCTTCATCTCTGTATCTTCATTACCTTCTATATTGATGAGGTGGATTTTTTCCATTAGTAGTGGAGATTCTTTGATTCGTTTTTTTTTCCATCAAATATCTCTTCTTAACTTGTTTATGGCCTTTAGTATGACACTACTACATGTGTAAGCAATTGCCAAATGTCATCTAAAGTTTTACATCTAAACAATCTCATTTTTTCTTTCCCTCTTATTATGTATTTCCTAAAAAGGGAAATACATAAAAGTCAAAACCATATATAAAGGTACTAGTATATGCAAAAAACATGTAATATATTAATAAGTAAACTCCTGGTCCTGATGAAGCATCTCCATACCTCTCTCTACTGGTACCCATTTGTTAGACGTTTCATTGCTGGTTACATTTTTAACAATGTCTCTCCTCTTCAAATATATTTGGAACTCTCTTCAGCATTGATTCTAGGTTCCCGCTGAATAATTCTAAAATAATACTAGGTATGTAGGATACGGCACATAGTTTGATATGGTTTAGTTGGTGTGCTATTTTGGACCCTGATATCTCTTAAACACTCCTTGGAACAATTATGAGAACTTTATAAATGGCTATAATTGCAAATTGAAGAGATTTCTGATACCAAAATCTTAAAATATTTGCTTTTTACAACTTTCAGAAAGGTCAATACCAAACAAACGATATATTATTTTGCCGAATTCAATTTAATATCATATTATCAGTTTTCATTCCCTCATGTTGCCCCCTCTATCCATCTGGTATCATCCAATTCTGTATGCCATATTAGTTATTAGATTTTTTTAAAAAAAAAACAAAATTAAGAGAGTGAAAAACAGCAACTATTTATCAATTCATTCATTGTGGCTGCATTGACTCGTGTTTGGGTAAATTTTTCTTTCGAAAGATGTCTAAGAATTTAGCCTCTTTAATGGTAGGGGTAGTATATACTTACCATCAAAAAAGTTTACTACTCTTACAACTAATTTAATCACATTTGATTTCTATCAATCTAACTATTATAATTTATTGGGAATTAATAATTAATTAATAAGTGTGACACAATAAATGTTATTAATTTCCAATAAATTATAACCGTTAGATTGATGGAAGTCAACGGTAGTTAAATTTGTTGTAAGAATGGTAAACTTTTTTGGTGGTAAGTGGATTCGTTCCCTTAATTTAATGGTATAGGATAACAGTACATAACACTAAAATAATAAAAACAGAAAGTACACGAAGGAAAAACTAGCCACATTTTAAAACTTTTACTAAGTAGGGAAAGAATGTCAATTCTGGTATCGTTCCCGTCCTTATGTCTTATATGCTGATGCATGTAGCATCTCAACTTTTTCTGTTTCTCGGATAGAAATGGGGCATCTCAACCTTCTCATAGGATATGGTTTTAAATGACTGATTCTATTTCTTGCATCCTCTTTTTCAGGTCTGTAAGAGCGGTACAGGCAGCATTGCATTGCATAAAAAAAGCCATACGGAGTCAACATCTAATGTCAACGAGACCAAAGGTGGTCATCGTGTCAGATACACCTACTCTTGTTAAAAGTATCAAGTCTAACATAAGTGAATTTGCAGAGGTAATTTTTCAGTTCTTGATTGCTAAGGTGTAGGCAAATTCCATCGTATTAATCTTTAGATGACAACTTATACCACTCTTAATTCAAATATATATATATATATATATATATATATATATATATATATATTATTAGTTGGTAACAATGAAATTACTTATCAGATATATAGAACTGGCATTATGATATATTTAATTTTGCCAATCTTCTGTAATAAAATACGTATTTGCCTTGTAATCAATCAATCTGTTGTTTACTTTTCAAAAATGATGTATGAGGCAACCATCAATAAATGTAGTAACACTTGTGCGCCTTTGATTTTTATTCATATCTTCTTTCCCCAGGTTCTTCATTTTGATTATGAAAAATTCAGAGGAAGTATATTTAAAGGTTTGCCCAATTCAGATTTTAGAAAGAAGGATTGGGGTGCAGCTCCCAGATGGGTATCTTTTGTAGACTTTTTTCTTGCATCTCGTGCAAGATACGCTGCAGTTTCTGGAGCTCATCGGCGTGTTGGGACTACCTATGCTCAATTAATTGCTGCACTAGCCGCAGCATACAATCTGGGTATTTCTGCTAACTGAATCTCCCTACTTATTCTTATAAGTCATCTGGTTCCACAAATTTTCTTGTATCATACTTCTGAAACATGTGAAAATTGTTTTCTCTAGGGGACAACTCGTCTGGTTCTAGGTTTTTATTCTTTAGCAGTTTCCAGAGTAATTTGCTGACTGGTGGCCTTAAGAATCAGATTGGTTGGGGCCATGTGTGGAACAGATATGCTGGTCCATTGAGTTGTCGTAACCAGGCCAATCAATGTGCCTTAACACCAATTCTCCCTTCTGCTTGGTGGGATAGCCTTTGGCAGTCTCCCATTCCAAGGGATATTAATCGTCTTGCTTCCTATGGTATCCGATTATCTGGTCTTGGCACAGTTGATAGCGATTCCCTTCAAAGTTACTGCAAGAAAAGGAAAAATGTTGTAAGAACCATTACCTTCAAATTGTAGTGTTTGGAAGTTACATTTCCTTATATTCTTTGTTGGATAACCATAATAATTAGTATTAGAATATTTATCTCATTTTTTCTGCATTCAAGTTTTCCTAGTCCATTCGTTACCTGTTATTATTTGTGGTACGACATTCTCTACCAATTTAACTAGTTAATATATATATATATATATATATATATATATATATATATATATATATATATATATATATATCATTTCTCAAGCTGTTTGAGATAAGTTTATTTCCGGCTACTAAATCATAACCATACAAAGATGGATTAATGATGATAATGGAAGAGAGAGAAAAAGGGAATCATAAGTTCATAACCATTCAAAGATGAATCAATTAATATAAGGAAATAAAACGTAGTTTTGGGGTGGTCGGAGGTAAACTTATTTCAATCTGCTTGAGAAATGTTTTTCCCATATATATATATGGGTTTATCGTTTCTCAAGTTGCTTGAGATAATTTTATCTCTAGTTGCTAAATCATAACCGTACAAAAATGGATTAATGGTGATAAAGGAAGAGAGAGAAAAAAGGAATCATAACCATTCAAGGTGAATCAATTAATATAAGAAAATAAATAAACAAAACGACGTCGTTTTGGGGTTGTCGGAGATTATCTTATCTCAAGTTGCCGAAGAAATGTTTTTTCTAGGAGTTTGTTTTTCTCATGTTGCATGAGAAAACAAACTTTTCCTACACACCATAAAAAGGTGTGTCACTCATTTTTTTATTTTTTATTTTTTTTAAATAAGTGGGACCCCACACTTGATGTATCTATGACATGAGGTTAGAATTCTTCTACAACATAAAATTTATTTTTCCTATATATATATATATATATATATATATATAGCTTTGAAACATTAAGGTTTCAGCTGAATTTTTCTCAAGCGCCATGGAAAATGAACCGCAAGAACTTACACTTGGGTGAACAAAATTACATGCATTCCAATAATCCGTATTTCCAACTAAATTTTTCTACCAAGTTGTATGCATTGATTTATAAAACAAGACTTTGTAATTATATTAAAAATTAGGTTAAGTTACTCAATTATTCTTTACTTCCTGTTGTATATAGATAAATAGATAATATAGATAAATAGATAATCGAGTCTAATAAAATGGTACCTGTTCGGTCTTAGAGAGCCGTAGAATTATATTGTATAGTATACGCTTAGAGATATCTTAGAGATAGATATCTTGGTTGACTTATAGCCAATTTCTCAATCACTGCGCACAAGCAATATGCTTATAGCCAACACGTGAGTGTGTGCACAGTGTTGGCAACATTAGTAAATAGATTTTCGATGTGTACCTGGGTTCATTAGCCTTTTATTTATAGGGGTTACCTCTTGGGTTTGGGCTGTGTAGACTTTTCAGTTGATGCATGATTTAACCTTTTATTTGTAGGGATAAGGGTTTTATCTTCATATGTTTATGCTGTTGAGATAATTGTGCCATTATCTGTTAAGAGATTCATGGGATAGGTGGTTAAGATATGAATATATTGCATAACAGTTGCTCCTTAGCTCGGTAGATCCGAGGCTCGGACTGCCGAGATGAGTTGTTTTGTCCTCCACCTCAGTTTTTCTGAGTAGTTTGATCCATCCTTGTTGAAATCTGGATTAATAGCTACGTCAGGTTGTCTTTACATGAGGTCGGTGTTGGGTGTGAACTTGTTGGTTGCTTAAAATATTCTTGTGAAGGACGTTCCCTTATTTCAGTTCATCAAGAGAAAACACATTCGTTCTTTTGACTTCAACCCAAGTGCGCAAGTGCACACATCAAGTAATAAATGGGACTATTAGTGCCCAGATTATCGTTCCCACGAGGATAGTACTCTAAATAATGCTTTAAACTATTTTAAAAAGAATAAAAATGAAAAGAAATGTAGTAATTGATCTGTTTGGTCAAACGTTCCCTATTATTTTGACAACGTTCCTCAAGAATAGTAAGTTCAATCTAACAGCAAACAACTCCTCGTGTCGTTATATATGGAATCCTTCTTGATGAGAGAAGGAATGGCAATATTCATTGGAGATTTGTTGATACAAGATTGAATAAAGAAAATAACAATAACAATATTTAAGAGACAACAATATGGAGAGATAAAATAGTTTTTAACACAAGGAACAGATCTACTGTTCCATTCTTAAATAGCTATATTCTCCACTCAGGACTTAACCCTTCTGGATTTGTTCAGGTCTCTTCACTGCCAACTCTGATTCATCAGCTCATGGTCTAAATGGCTCACAAGTTTCTATATTCCTATGGCTCTCTTGACTCCAACAGTTACTCAGTATAGGACCTTCAGTGAACGAGGTGGTTCCTTATTCTTAAGGCAACCAGCAGTGTTGTTTTCACAACACTACCTTCCCCCTCTGATTAAGCTGTCTGAATTTCCTTCCTTATGGAAGTTCCTTTCTCAGTATGCGTTCAATTTCCATTGATACGCAATGAATATAGCACACTTAATCAGAGAAATACAAAAGCTTCAGTACAAGAGTTTTGAAAATATTTCTTTAAGAACATCACAGTTTTATCGTTCAACAAATAACTTAGCCCATGGCTAATACTTTAAACATAATTATTCGAAACTGAAATCCCATAGACTCGAGATTCAGTTCAGAGATAACGAATGGAAGAAAAGAGAAATAACACGTTATATTAATCAAAAACAAGTTAGGCTACAACGAAATGAAAAATGGAGAAATATGATTGTTTCTCGTGATGAGTCTCAAGTGGGTGATACAGAATAGGGGAGAAGTTGTTGTCACTTAACTGTTGCTAAAACTATACAAAGAAAAACTACAAAGGAAACTAAATGATCTCTTAAGGAATTCGATAGTTTCTTTGTGTTGGAACGTCCTATTTAAAGGCAGAAGAGTGGGTGGCAAAACTTGTAATTTCCATTGAGTTGTTTTCTTGACTGCATGAAAGAGGCGGTGTGAACAGTGCTCAGAGGGACGCAAGTTGCTTGGATGGGACACTTATTGTTGAGATTTGCCTTTTCTTCTGCAATCCCCCATGCCTTACTTTCCTCTTAGCCAATAGGAACTCTTTATTCTCTGCTGTGCACATTTCTTCCTACTTGATTGCTGTACCTCTTATGCTTTATGAAAGATTCTTTTCAATGTTACTTGCAAAGTGTTCAGAGAGATTGAGTTAGTGGAGCAGGTGTATTTAATGTTCCCAATCCGTTCCCCTTTTTCTATTTTTCTCAAATGATTACATCATCATCCATTCCCCACTGTGTTTTTGTCACAACGATATAAACACGTGTTTTTAATGCAAAAGTTGCTCATCAGATGAGGGAGTAAATGGTATTTTGCCATCAAAATGGGCTTAGATGGGAGCGAATTTTCGTCCCATCAACTTCAAAAACTTAACCAATGAGTAATCATCATCTCATTCAAAGATTGAACTACTCTCCATAGATGACAAGTAGAAAGAATTTGTTCCAAGGTAAGTGAAGGTTGCTGATCTTCTGTCTCACTGTCACTCAGGGTTGGTGTTTCTCTGTCCATTCCTGGAAGTGATTCTTCAAACTTGCTTATCTGCTGCTTTCTTAAGAAGTATGATGTCTTTCATTTCAAAGGATCTTTGAGAGGGAGAGTTGTGGAGAGGTTTATGATGGAGTGGGCATAGGTCTTGGGTCAAGGAACATTTTCATTTTTCTGCTGAGATTTGGACTTTTCTGTTGGGGAACACCTTGTCTTTGTTTTTGTACCTTCTTTTCTTCCTTTGAAGGAATCTTGTCTGGTATTTTCTTCTGAATTCTTTTGAATGACTGTTCCCATTTTTTTTTTGTTTTCTATCTTCTTGTCCTTTCTACTCATGTTGTTGTTGTTCCTTGACCTTTTCGGTTGACCTGGTGGTATGTAGGAGTGTGTGTGATTGTGTTGATGTATGTATGGGATGGAAGTGTTTGTTTGACTGTGTTGGGGTGAGTGTTTGATGGTTGATCCTTGTCTGTGGAATTCACCTGTTCTTCTGCAGTACTTACAACATCAAAGCAAGTTCAGAAGTTTCATTGTGGTTACACCTTAGGAACACTCTCATGAGTAAGTGTTTGGCATTTTTTTCGTTCCTCACCAGTTTAGTTCACACAGATCAGCATCCTTCAAAAATCTGAAGATTAAATTCACTTCTCTTTCCCTACTTCTAGCATTCAGAGTAAGAATAAGAATGATTGCTCATTGATTTTATGTTTCATGCCATTAGTTATCTAAATTTTCACAACCATAATACTATAACTGAAATGTTTGCTCCAAATAGTTTGAAGAAAAAGAAATTTTTCTATTCAAAAAGTTAAATTTACACTAGGGAACAGAAAGGAAAACAAATGGAAATTTGCAAAAAGAAACAAATAACAGAATTAAAATAAAACAAAACAAGACATGAGGGTTTTTCTCCTTTCAGCGTGGACGTCTTTTGTCCAGAGTTGTGTTCTTCTCAGCATCAATTTTCTCCTGTGTAGGTGGTCTCTTCCTTAGCTGATCCTTCAATCTTTTTACTTCAGCTTTAGGGAGTCACTTCTCAACTTCCTTCAGAAGGTCATTGATGACTGCAGTGAGGTGTTCAATGGTGGACCTCATCATGATTCTGCCATTGTGGATATACACCAATTGGCCGTCCATATCCAGCACCCTATGCTCCAGCTGATTAATCTTATTTTCTAAAAACGCCCCAAAGACCTTGAAGGCTTCCTTGGTTTCCTTCCGTTCCTCAGCATTTTGAATCAGGAGACGTCTGAGGTTTAACTCAGCTCTGGTGTTGTGCATGGAGTGAGCATGCTTCAGGGCATCAGCTGCACTTCTGATTTCATTCCTTACAGCTTGCAGTGTTGGTGCAGAAGGTGCAACACTGATGCCTCTGATGCTGGTATTGACAGAGTTTAGGAACTGCTCTCTTTCTGCCTTTTGTTGTTCTTGGAATTGAGTGAAGGCAGTAGAGAGCTGTTCCATTCCGTTCCTCAGAGCCTTCAGCTCTTCAGTAGTATTGGACATGTTAATCTGAGGAACGAATGGCTCTTCAGGCAGCAACTTCTCCACTTTTCTCCCCATCATTTCAAAA